TCATACTAGGTCTTTAATTCGGGGCCTGGACACTTTTCCTTAGCTTTTTTGCTCAAAGCTGTCACTCTACCACTTGAGCCACAGCTCTACTTCAGCTTTTTGGTGATTAGATAAAGGGTCTCATAAGATGCCTAACCTGGCTTCAAAACACAATTCTCAGGTCTTCTGAGTAGCTGGGATTATCAGAATGAACCACAAGTTCCTAGCATGTTTAATATTGTGTGTGTCTATGTATGTGTATGTGTATGTGTTTTGTTACTGGGGTTTAAACTCAGGGTCTTGCTCTTGCTAAGCAGGTGTTCTGCCACATTGAGCCACCTCTTCAGCCCATGGACAAGAATAAAGACACAAGAAGCTGTTTTGGTTTAGCTCATCAGACAAAAGAGTAGTCACAGCAGGTCCTGTGGAAATGCTGTCTTTGTGCACTAAGGGGCGGGTACCAGGATTCTTCATTTAGATTAGTTAGGCTGTGCCAGGACCCTAGTCCATTCCTTTGGATGGTGTGGGGACTCTAGGTTTTCCCATTGTAGATGTTTGTATAATTGGACCAAGTGTATTTTCTTTCTTTATATCTGTGGTGATCCTGACCTCAGAGAGGTAGCATTCCACTTCTGCATACTGGCACACATTAATGGATTCTGCCTGCAGCTTGTGGGAGGTTGGTGGTCATAAGACTGAGGTCCAGCTCCTTCTCTGAGAACTGCTATACTATAGATATTGTCCAGAAACTATGAGAGGCATTTTAGTATATCTTAGGGTTTTTGGGCCTTCTCTGCTGCAGGTGTTCATATTTTCTACACTTACTTTATGGATTATCTGGAGAGGTAAGGCTATGGGGAAAATTAGTCTTATCCTCAGAAAGCTTGTCTAAAATCCAACTGAAAAGAGACTGTTCTGTGTTGAATAGGCTTCTAGTGGCATTGCACTTTTAGGATGATTTTTTTATGGTTGAATGCTTGGAGATATGGAAAGTTGGGTACTTCTGGTGCCTTAAGCCAGTGAATAGATGGGGTAACAATGAAAATAAACATTGAGGCAACTAGGAGTTTTTGTCCAATATACTTTAGGAGTTGTGAGGAAAAAGGTTTGAGAGGAACTATTTGAAAGACAGGACATGGTAATTGCAGAAACTCTATAATGTGAGTTGTCATTTAAAAGTATGTTGTTCCATTGGGTAGCTCATGTCTGTAATCTCAGCTACTCAGGATATGGTCATTGAGGTCAGATGGGTCATGGTTCTAGACTGCCTGGGTGAAAAAGTAAGATCCCATCTCAAATCAATAAGTTGGTGTGATGTTTCATACCTGTGATCCCAGCTATATGAGTAGGAGAATCATGATCTGAGGCAACCCCTAGCAAAATACCTGAGAATAACTAAAGCAAAAATGGGCTGGGACATGGCTCAAGTGTTAGAGGGTTCCTTGCCTAACAAGTATAAGGCCCTGATTGCAAACCTCAGTATTGAAAAAAGAAAAAGGTACACAGGTGTTTGGAGACTGGTTGGTTTTGCTAACAAAGTGATGCAGAAGTATGCTCTCCCTCTCCCTGACTGTGTTAAGAGAATTCATTTTCTCTTGGAGCTTTTTTTTTTTTTTTTTTGGTCGGTTGTGGGTCCTGAACTCTGGGCCAGGGTGCTATCCCTCAGCAATGCAGCTCAAGGCTAGCGCTCTACCACTTGAGCCACAGTCCCACTTCTGCTTATGTGGTGCTGAGGAATCAAACCCAGGGCCTCATGCATGCAAGGCAAGCACTCTACCACTGAGCCCCCTCTTGGAGCATTTTTAATTTTAAGTTTTTTTTTTTGGGGGGGGGGACTGGTACTGGTACATGAACTCAAGGCCTGGTGTTCTTATTTAGCTTTTATTGCTCACAGCTATCACTCTACCACTTGATTCACACCTCTTCATCTGACTTTTTGTTGGTTAATTGGAGATAAGAGTCATAGACTTTACTGCTCTGGCTGACTTGGAGTCCTGATTTTCAGAACTCAGCCTCCTAAATAGCTTAAAGGCATGCACTACCTGCACTGGTCTAATTTTATGATTCTTGAAGAAACAACTAGTAAGATTTGGGAAGCAGTGGCAGACATCAGTGAAATCAGGAATTTCAGTTGGTTACAAATGTACCTTCTAAGATGTTTTTACCATTTTTACATACTGAACACACTTTTGCTGTGAGATTGATTTGTAAAAAAAAAAGTGAAGACAGAACCCTTCTGGGTTTTTGTTGTTGTTGTTTTCTTGGCAGTACTGGGGCTTGAATTTAGGGTCTCAAGTTTTCCCTAGGCTGGCTTGCTTGGTTTGGACTGGGGTTATAGCTAGACTTGAGCCACACCTCTGGCCCTGTGATCTCATTTTCTAAAATCAAACTGTCCACTAGAAGGAGATGTTTAGCTGTCAGAAAATTGAAAGTAAAAGTAACTTTACAAAGTTTTATATATTTAATTTTATGAAATTGAACCGAAAGTGACATAAAATCATGTTAGAACACAAATTACTTTATATATTATCTAGGCCAACCCTCTTATTTTATAGGAAAATCAATGCAGCTGTTGTTTTCAAAGGTGGTTGAACATAACTTTTCCTCAAATTTGTAGCCTAGTGTTGGCAGCACTATAATAATTGTGAGGAGAATTAATACATACTGTATTAACTTTCCATAGTACATGCAGCATAATCAAATGAGTGCAAGTTTGCAGGAAAAGTGGCAGATTATGTATATCTGTTCTGCTTGAAACACAATGAAATGAACAAATGATTTAAAAAATAGGAACTTTTTTCCTTTTTTGTGCCAAAATGAAGTTTTAGCTCAGGTCCTCAAACTTGCTAGACAGGCACTGTATCACTTGAATCATGCCTCCAGCCTTTTTGCTTTGTTTGTTATTCTTATATTTTTGTCTAGGTCAGCCTTGGACTTTGTTCCTCCTACCTCTGCCTCCTGAGTAGCTAGACTTATAGGCATGAGCCACTGCACACAGCCCCAAAGGTCATTGTTTTATCTCCACATATGTTAAAGTAGGAAATTTTTAAATGTAAAGAATTCATTCTCAATTTTTATAGGTTCTAAAGATAATTTGCTTTTTGTAACATTTGAATTAAAACACTGAAATCCTAATATAGGGTCTTCATGAGACATATATAAATTTTGTTAACAGGGCCTTTTCTTACAACGTTTTAGAAACTGACATTTTGTGATTAAAGCTTTTTTTCACTGTATGAAGTGTATATTATTCGCTTTCTCCCATTTTCCCCATCCAGTTCCTGCCCACAAGTTGCATAGTTCATTTTTTACATAGTGTATATTGAATACCATGACTGTATTTGTTTACCCTTCCTCTCTCCATTCCTGTGTAATTCTTAAGTTGTAGAGAAGAGTGGGAAGTCTAGGCTTTAAACCCTGGTAGAAAAAGATGAGCTACTAAGATTAATGCAGGGGCTCTGGGTTCAGAGTATTTTAATAAGATATTGTACCTTGTGTGCCCACTGGGGAGCAGTGACCTGGTTATCAGGACCACAGGAGAGGATGGAAAGTCATTATTTTGAAGTCTACATTTCAGGGACTCAATATAGTCCACAACTTACCTAAACATGGTAAGCAGTGAAATCTCAGTCTTGAGAATTGGTAGGGTGACCTGCCTATCTTAATGGGTGAAAAGCCAAAATCTAACATATACCCCCACATACTTGAACTACAGGTATGATTTGCTTCTGAGAATTTTGTTTTCTTCTTTCATTTCCTTCCTTGGTAACTACTCTGTTAAGATAAGTTCATTTAAATTCAATAACTTTTAGCATATCTAAGAGTAGTGTAACCACTACTCTAGCAAATTCAAGAGCTTTTTCTTCAGCTTACAAACCTCATATTCCTCTTTTTTTCATACAACCTTGAGCAACTAGTATATTGTTTTCTATGCATTTGTCTTCTTTTGGACATTTTATACATGAAATCATAAAGTATGTTCTCTTGTGTCTAGTTTTTTTTTCCATTTAACATGTTTTTAAAGTCAGTGTTTCCATGTTGTATGATATGTCAGCACTTGTTTTAGTTGAATAATACTATTGTGTATTTTATTTATCCAGTTTGTCAGTTAATGAAAATAATGGTGCTTTCTCCCATTTTCCCCCTCCTGTTCCTGCCCACAAGTTGTGTAGTTCATTTTTTTTACATAGTGTATATTGAATACCATGACTGGATATGTTTACCTCCATTCCTGTGCAATTCTTAAGTTGTAGAAAAGAACTCTAGCCTTAGGAGCTGGCAAAAATTTCTAGGGTTATTCCCATTCATAACAACAAATAGGAGCCATAGATGTTAACAAAAAGATGGTACAGAGTTCTTTTATCATCATATTAGACAAAGTAACCAAAAATGTAAAATTCTGATAGAATGCCATGAACTGGAGGTGTGGCCTAAGTGAGAGAGTGCCAGCTGTGCAAAATAGCTGAGCAAAAGCACAAGGTCTTGCATTCTAGCCCCAGTAACAGTACAAAAACAAATGCCATAAAAAGCAAGGAAATTAATAAGACAGACTGGGTACAGTAGTTCATGTTAGTAATGCCAGTTCTTTATGCTGCTTTCAATATAGTTCAAGCATATTTCCAAATTATTCACTCTCTTCTTCCCTTCCTCTTATAAGTAGTACCTTAGGCTCATGTTCTATGTTTTTCACATTTTACAATTATATATGCAAATAGATTCCTGAATAAGTATGTGTTTTAGGTCTTGCTTTTAGATATGGATGAAAACATGTATCTGTTCTTTTTGTGCTTGAGCTATCCTACTATCATGCTCAATATGCCTTTCAATTCCATCTCTTCCTACAAATGACATGATTTCATTTTTCTTTATGGCTATGTAATATTACATTGTGTGTGTGCGCATGTGTGTGCATGTGCGTGTGTGTGTGTGTGTGTGTGTGTGTATGTGTGTATCTCCTACAACTTTATCCCTTCATCTGTTGGGCATTTTGGCTAATTTTACTCTTTGGCTATTGTGAACAGTGTTGCGATAAACATGGCCATAGAGTGTCTTTCTGGTATATTGATTTACTCTTCTTCAGATATTTGCCCAATAATGGTATGGCAGGGTCATAGGAAAGATGTATTTTTAGTTACTGATTTTCTTTTTTTTAATTAATTTTATTGTTAAGGTAATGTACAGAGTGGTGCAGTTACATACATAGTAAGGTAGTGGGTACATTTCTTGTTGAACATTGTTTCCCCTCCCTCATTTTTCTCCTACTTTCCCTCCCCTCTCAGTGTTTCCCCCTACCCTCACCCCCACCAAGTTATAAAGTTCATTTCCAACATATTGTCTTGTGTCTTGTCAAAATGATTGCACTAGTTTACTTTCCACCAACAGGGGAAAATTTTTCGTGGCTCAGTAATGAGTTAAATGTTTATTCTTCCTCCTAGTATTTATGATTTTAATATTCAAGTCATTTGAAATTATTTTGATTTATTTTTGTATGTGTCAGTTATGGGGCCTGAACTCTGGGGTCTGTCTACTGTCCCTCAGCTCTGCAGCTCAAGGCTAGCACTCTACCAGTTGAGCCACAGCACCACTTCTGGCTTTTTCTGCTTATGTGGTACTGAGGAATGGAACCCAAGGCCTCATGCATGCAAGGCAAGCACTCTACCACTGAGCCACCTCACAGCCCTTATTTTGATTTTTAGTATGGATTAGGGTCTGATTTCATTCTTATAAATAATGCATTATCTTTTTTTGATTTTTCCTTTCTTACTGGAAAGCATTTAGTTTGCACTTTTACAAAGTTTTTGCCTTTATTTTATTTTGTTATTGCATTCTGATCCATAATTTTTTTTTCTTTAGACTAAAGAGAATTCATCTTCTATGATTACTGACCTCAACATAATAATGGAGCCCACAGACTATTCAGAATTAAGTGAATTTGTATCTAGGTAAGCTATTTTCAGATTTATTATTTTGAGAACTACTATCATTCTAAAGTCTTAAGTTTTCTTTTAGTAAGCAAATGGAGCTTCTTACAAAGCCTAATACTACTATTATGGTTTGTATTTAAGCATTCTTTCTATGACTCTTTTAGTATATATTATTGCATATTCAGTATGTGTTGAGGCATTAAAATATGAGCAAACCCAGATATAGTTCTTTTTTTTGTGTGTGTGTGTGTGTCGGTCGTGGGGCTTGAACTCTGGGCCTGGGCACTGTCCCTCAGCTCTTCAGCTCAAGGCGAGCGCTCTACCACTTGAGCTACAGCGCCACTTCCGGTTTTCTGGTGGTTTATTGGAGATAGGAGTCTTACGGTCTCTCCTGCCCGGGCTGGCTTTGAACCGCGATCCTCAGATCTCAGCCTCCTGAGTAGCTAGGATTACAGGCGTGAGCCACCAGCGCCAGGCTCAGATATAGTTCTTGATCCGCATGGAATTTACAGTCTTGTGAGAAGTCAGATACTAATCAAATAGTTGAAAGAAGTCTAAAATTGTGGTTATTTTAAATGCTACAGGGGAGAGTTACATTTTGCTGTCAAAGTATATATTAGGAATTGGATCATAAGGGAGAATGTGGAAGCTTAGTTGATATGAGAAACCAGTAGGTATGAATTAAAAAAGACAGAGAGGGGGTAAGAGGAAATGCAGGGATATATTGTGTCATACAGAGTTCACATAGTCCTTTTGTGCTGGCCATGCTTTGGAAGTAGCATCTGCTATCTGGAAACTACAAAAGGAAGGATATCTATCTCCTTGGTAATGGGGATGTTGTAGCTACTTAATAAATACTTGGCCTCAGGATTTTGGGTACTTCTCCTAGACTTGGTTTCCCCCTTCTGAAAACTGAGTGGCGTTTTAGAAAAGATGTTGAACATAGATCAGAGGATGTGGATTTTAGTCCAGACTCTAACCTTGTGTAAATTGCTTCTCTTTTTGAATTCTTCTTTATCTCTGTAACTTAAGTATCATGTTCCTATATGTAAATTTAGTACTAGTAAGTAGACCTGTAGTTTTATAGAATGAGAATTCATATCTTTAATTTTAATTAGGAAAAACTTAGCTATTAGCTCATTGATTTGCCTCTCCTCTTGTTATCCCTTATCACAATCTGTCTTCACATTGCACAATAAACATGTCACATATAAAAAGAACTAGGTGTGATGGCACACACCACTAATTCCAGCACTTGGGAAGGTGAGGCTAGAGATCACGCGTTTAAGGTCAACCTGGCTACATAGTGAGTTCCATGCCATCTTGGACTATAATATTGAAAGTTTGTCTTAAAATAACCTAAACACAAAAGAATAACAGTATGCTTTTCTTTTCTTCTCTTTTTGTCTTTGTGTTGTCATAAATTTTGTTTTTACATATATTGTGAATATTTTTGCCTACTCAATTATTTTTTAAAACAAGCCAAGTATTTTTAAAACAATTAAAAATAAGAAAACAGTTTTGTGTGTAAATTTATCTTTTTTTACCATTTCCAACATTTTTCATATTTTTATGTTGATTCATATTTCTCACTGTGTGTACTTATGCTGGTCTATTAGCTACGAGTTCTGTTAGCTTTTGTTTCTTTGGAAAGGTCTTTTATGTGCCTTCATCTTTTGAAAGATATTTTAGCTGGCTATAGAAAAATGGGTTGGCTTTTCTTTCAGATCTTTAAAAGTATCCTTCCGGGGCTGGGAAGATGGCTCAGTGGTAGAGCGCTTGCCTTGCAGGCATGAGGCCCTGGATTCAATTCTTTAGCACCACATAAGCAGAAAAAGCCAGAAGTGGCACTGTGGCTCAAGTGGTAGAGCGCTAGCCTTGAATGCCTGAGGCCCTGGGTTCGATTCCTCAGCACCATATAAGCAAAAAGAAAAAAGCTAGAAGTGGGACTGAGGCTCAAGTGGTAGAGCGCTAGCCTTGAGCTGAAGAGCTGAGGGACAGCGCCCAGGCCCAGAGTTCAGGCCCCTCGACCGGACCCCCCCCCCCAAAAAAAAAAAGTATCCTTCCATCATCTTCAAGATCTCATAGAATTGACAAGTCTTCCATAATATCTTTTGAGGATTTTAATTAGCATATACTAGTTATACAGGAGAGGTTTTCTTGTGACATTTTCACAACTATGTACAATGTATCTCAATCAACTTCATCCCACTCTCCTCCATTTTCACTTTTTGTTATTGTTGTTGTGGGGCTTCAACTCGGCCTGGACGCTGTCCCTGAGCTCTTCAGCTCAAAGTGAGCTCTACCACTTGGGCAACTGCACCACTTCCAGTTTGCTGGTAGTTAATTGGAGATAGAGTCTCATGAACTTTCCTTGTCTGGGCTGGCTTTGATCCTCACATCTCGATTACAGGCATGAGCCACTGGCTCCTGGCCCATTCTCACTTTTCAAAACAATTTCATTGTTCTATTTTCATATATCTGTTTTCAGTACTGTAGTCTATATCAATCATTTCATCTTCATTCACCCTCTTCCTTAGCCTCCCCATTTCTGCTAAGCAAGTAGGTGCCCACTGCCTCAATATGAGCCTGTTTTACTTTCCTGAGACACATTTGTTTTAGAGTGTATTAATGTACTAAGGAATTTCACTATGGCATTTCAGACATGTATAATATTTTGTTCAGAATAACCCTCTGTTGTCTTCTCTTCATAAATAGTTCACTGTAGTTATTTACCCTTCATATTGTTTCCTCTCTCTCTCTCTCCTTCCCTCATTTTCCTACATAGTCCCATGATTAGGATCATAATCTCTGTGTAGGTCTCTACAACTCTGAATATGTATGTCTTTTAAGTCTAACATCTACATATGACCCAAATTATATGAGATTTGGTTTTATTTTGTTCGCTGGCTTGAACTCAGCCAGGGCACTCTCTCTCTTAGCTTTTTCACTCAAGGCTGTCACTTTACCACTTGAGCCATACTTTCACTTTTGGCTTTTTGCTAGTTAACTGGAGATAGTCTCAAACCTTTCTTCTTGAGCTGACTTTGAACTGGAATCCTCAGATCTCAGCCTCCTAGGTACTAGGATTGCCCCATTTGTTAGGAAATGGAAAGACTTGAAGAAAATTATATTAAGTGAAGTAAGCCAGGCCAAAGAAACATAGGTGCCATGGTTTCCCTTAATTGCAATAACATATGTTTAGGACAAGCAGAAAAGGTCAAAAGCTATGTATATATGATCATAATAAGATGATGTTAAGTGAAATGAACCCCAAGATAGGAACACAACAAGTGGGTTTTTTTTCTTTCTTGCTATTGTTTTTAATGTATTTTAAATATACTATGTGATTTTTTTTGTTTCTCTTATATGTTCTTCCCCTACAGTATAACCCCTGTTTTCACTGTATTTGATGTCGGTGCCCTGCATCTTTATATACATTTTTCTAATTTGGGGAGGGTAAGGATAATAACAAAATGCTGAAATAAGGATACAGATTGACCTATTGTAACAAAGAGATGTACAAGATACTATGTTGAAAATGAAGTTTACAACTTGGGGGGGAGGATTGGGGAAGTGGGGAGGGAAGGGATGGTAGGAGAAAACCAAAGGAGGAGGTAACAATGCTCCACAGGAAATGTGCTCATTACCTTACTCATGTAATTGTAACCCCTCTGTACAGTATTTTTACAACCAAAAAACATTAATAAACAAATCCTCTGAATTTTAGAAAAGAGTCAACATTTCATCTAATCATCACTGAGTATAATAAATTGTAATAACTAAAAAAATGGTGGGACAAAGGGTCAACTAATTCAACAGTGATACTAAACACTAAGTTGAAAATGATCTATACAACTTGTAGAGGAGGGAGTTGGGAGGGAAACAACTGTGAGAAAAGGAGAGAAGAGGTAACACTATTCAAAAAGAAATGCACTATGAGGTACTGGTGGCTCACGCCTATAATCCTAGCTACTCAGAAGTCTACATCTGAGGATCAAGGTTCAAAACCAGCCCTGGCAGAAAAGTCCATGAGACTCTTATCTCCAATTAACCACCAGAAAACAGGAAGTGGCGCTGTGGCTCAAATGGTACAACACTCGCCTTGAGCTGAAGAGTTCAGGGACAGCACTCAGGCCCAGAGTTCAAAACAAAAAAATGAAGAAAAAAATATACTCCATGTATTTATATAACTGCAACCCCTCTGTACATCATTTTTACAACAAAAATTTTAAAAATTCTTTTCAGAAACACATTCACAACCATTCTTTTACATAATATCTGCAGTTGCTTTCATAATACCGTCACAGATATTTAGTATTCAGCCTGTTCAGGAAAAAATTAGATTGCTGATTCATATGGTAGCTACGTAACACTATCAAAGTATTTTCAGAGTTGTGGTCCAATTTTGTATTCCCAGTAGCAGCATGCAAGAGTTCAATTTACTCTACATCCTCTTCAACATTTAGATATTTTTTCTGTAAAACTGAAGAAAGTAATTTAAGAAAACACCAGGAAATGAGAAAACATTCTATTTTGATGTATTGGCATAAATAATATAAAAATTTCCATCCTCCCAAAAGCAATCTATACAAAATCCCAATGTCATTCTTCACTGAGATAAATAATCAGCTACCTAATATTGGCAAGGAAGCTAAAAATATTAAGAAAAATCTTGAACAACTGATGCTGGGAAAACATGCAGAAAACCAAGGGGATATCTGTCACCTTGTACTAAAGCAATTCAAAATGTATCAAAGACCTCAATCTGAAACTTGAAATTACTATAGGAAGAGAAACATTGTAACTTAGTGACCTAGGCAGGAACTTTCTGAGTAGAACTTTATGGGCTCAGCAAATCAGAAAGAGAATTGACAAATGAGATTGTATCAAGCCAAGCTGGGCACCAGTGATTTATGTCTGAATCCTAGCTACTGAGGAGGCTGAGATTTGACCATCAGAGTTCAAAGCCATCCTGGGCAGAAAAGTCTATAAGACTCTTACCTCTAACTTTTAAA